GACATTTTGCCATTGTTTCCCACTCAGTAACTTAGTTTTTTTTTTTGTACAGCCTGCACTGAGTATGAAAGCCATTTGAGAGCAATAAACTCCACATTTCTTAAAAACCAATTCCAAGAAAATAATCCGTGGTGCAAGTCACTGCCATTTAAGAAATGATCTGAAAAGTAGTTTCTATTTTCTGGCAAGGGAAGAGAGTGTTTTTATTTTTAGACAGTTAGTATTCAATTAAAATACATGATGACATCAGAGTTTTACAGCCTATTCACATAAACAGAGTTAAAAACTAACAGTCTGTTCAGGTTATTAACCATTTACAGAAAATCAGCCTTTGCTTTATATTTAACCATGACTTGTCTACTTCTTCCACCCTTTCTACTAATATAAAAGGAAAAATGTGCTTATGAACAATTTTTTCTTAGTAGCTTTGTTTTTTGTATAGCCTGCTCCGAATAAAAAAAAAAGCAATAGCATGCTGCTGACCTTGATCTGCTCCACGAGACCCTCCAAAGACCCAGTTCTATCAGAAGTTCAACTTCTGTTTTCATTCAGCGTAATGAGGCTGAATAAAATTATCCAGCTTTACACCTGGCCGAAAAAGCTAGATTCACTATATATAGTTAAAACCTGAACCTCATGTGTCCACTGCATGTAACAGAAAAGACATTTAATGGATGCACAGAGAGAAATCATCAAATGCTCAAAAAAAAACAAAAAAACATCGTCTTGCATTTGAATCCTACAGGGATGCTCTGACTGTCTGGTGAGGCGATGATAGACACTCCTTACACAGGGCAGGAGCACTGAGTGCTATTCTTGTACTCCCAGCAGATCCGGCGGTGTTAAGTCGACATAAACAGTGTTTGACTGGCACGTAGGAACCATGTCTGAGTGTGAGACAGTGAACTCTCCACACTGGAGATGGCGGGCTCACCCTCCCACCGGGTCTCATTTAGTTTCTGTTGCTGAAAACAAATGTTTTTCAGGGTCCCCTGTGGCCCGCATGACAAGCGGCAGCCTGAAAGCGAAGTCCGTCTGCAGGCGGTTTTACGCTCGGCTCTTAGAATATCTGTGTTTGCGAGCAATTTTTAGATCGCAGAGGTTTGTCTTAATGTTGATTTGCAAAGTGACGTTGATGCGGAAGCATGTGGCAAGTTTTAGGAGTTTTGTTGTCAACGCTGCTGCTTTATTTGTCGAACACTTAGCTCGTAATGCAAAACAATACGTATTTTACAGAAAGTGCACTTGCATTAGTTGAGGTTTCATGCTCTTTAGGACACATTCACACCACTCTTGTTTAGTCTGCTTTAATCAAACTCTGGTTCATTCGTAGAAGGTCCGATTTGTTTGGGGAAATACGAACGCACAATCAAACCTAAAAAGCTAACTGTGGTCTGCCTCAAATCCTAAGTCTCTCTTTGGTTGAAGTGAATTCTAGTGAAGTTCGAACGTATATGAATGTATGTGAACATCAAGCGGATCAGAGACCGCTCCAACAGCAGGGCATTCTGGGTAAATACAATCAACAGAAACACCAGGGTCTAGTGCTAGAGGAAGAAATGGCCGGTGGTCTTTCGCCAAAGACAAGAGAAATCCTACAACTGACACGACTCCATTTTTGATTACATTACGTGAAGGAGGAAGTTGCGCTCATGCCTTCTTCAGAGGTTTTTGTTTCATTTCCACCATCACAGGTGAGGAGGGGAACAGTTTTTTCAAAGTTTGAAAGCAAACCACACCAACTGAGAATGTAGCAAATGCTGCAAATTTTGGTCCTGAACCGAACCGAGTGTGGAAACAGCTTTAATCTCCTTTATTGTTTGGCCACGTTCATGTCAAGGTTTGACCCTCAGATGGACGTCTCTGGTGTTTTTTGTCACATTTGAATGTTACAGATTATCAAACTATCAGACAAAGATAATACGAGTAAAAACAAAATGCTGTTTTTAAAATGCAGATACTTTTTAAGAACATTTCTAAACTATCCTGGTCCCACTGTATGTGGAAATGTAACAGCTCCCTACCTCTAAGATATCAACAACTCCAATCCACAGTCAGAAAGTCCTGGTATGTTCACCGCTCTCTCCATTTGTGGGTAAAGTCTCTCACTGTGGTTCCCATTAGTCCTGAAGCCTTAGAAATCAATTTTTTAACTCTTTCCCGTGTCAGTGTTTATGTTTCTTATCTATTCGTGAGTTCTGGACGTGTTGTTTTTTGTTTCCCTGGCATGTTTGAGCCGACTTCTTGTTACCAGACAAGTTCTGGTCACGTTTCTCGATTCTAGAGGGAAACAGGAAGATTGTAAAATTCAACTGAAAAATAATGTGGTTCAAATAGCTAATTCCAGTTAATAGATAAAAGTCTAATTTGCAAACTGCATTTTGTATTTACTCAAACTATGTTTGCTGGTCTTAAAAAAATAAAGTTTGATAATCCGAAGCAGTGAATTTGAACTAAAAAGCAGAAGCAGCTGACATCTGCAGGGCGTAAGTTTGTTTGCATTAAACTGCGTTTACCAAGGAGCAGAGGGTTTGTTGCTGTTTGGACTCTTGACATCTGGTTTTAACACAGTTGTTGTCTTTCACAGTCATTAGTTTGTTTCACTGAATGAAATCCATTAATAGCCATCATTCTCCAATGTCGCTTGAGTTAGAAATAGAAGTGAATTTAATTTCCCGCCCACTAAGATGTTTCCATTATAGGGGATTGGCACCTAAATGGGCGCCAGTGTTTCTTTTACAAATAATAATAATGCGGAATAAGCTGATAAGGATATTCTAAAATGAGGGAACATCGATGTTCGCCCCTGCAGCGACTGAGAATATATTAACAGTGGGGCCGTTGCCTCTTTTGACCCAACTAAAAGTCCTCATTTTAGTGTTTAGCTGTCCTACTTTGTGGCTGTAAGAAGTGCGTTGTTGGACTTCCCACTGCAGATCTCTATCTTGGGTTCCATGTTTCCCTCTAAAATAAAAGGCGAACTTGGTATAAAAATTGCCATTGATGCATGTCAGGGGAGTGCAAACCCTTAATTAACCCCTACATAGAGCAATTTTAATAATAGCCACATGCAGATTGACGCTATCTGAAGTTTCTTCTTTTTGCAGCACTTTCTAGCAAAATCGGTGGATCTTGTTCTGCCCACAGCAGAACAAAAACACAGGAACCAGGAACAACGAGGAACTAACCCGGATCTCACTGCAACCCGGCAGAGGCATGAGCAAACGGGTTGCAGGAACCAGACTGAGGAGAGAGAGAGAGGCTGCAGGGGGCGAGGGCGAGCTAATGAGGAAACTAAGAAAAAGAGTCTGGGAGATGTGAGGAAGAAATAAACACTGTTAGGCAATCACTAAATAGAAATGAGCTAAAACAGAACCAAGGCTGATTTCATCAAAGGAAGAAACGAAGGAACAAGGAATAATAATAATAATAATAATAATAATAATGACATAATCAAAGCCCCAAAACACCTCCTGTAAAATAAAATAGACTTGACTCATCTAGACTGAATTGTTCATCCCACAAAATGCCTGTGAACATAGATTATCACGTGTTTTTCGGAGTTTTCCCAGGATTGCTGCAATAATCTGTAGTTTAATCTAAACCATTCCATTAAAGCTCTGGTGTGTTCAACCAATAACTAATTTAGAGATTTTCTTCCATTGTTTTCCTGTTTCACACCATCCACTTTCATTTCAACTGATGAAAAGCATCCAGCATGCAGCGCTTACCCTAAAACTTATTTAGGGATTTCAGGGCAGACAAGACTGGATAGTAATGAGAAAACACTTTTCTGAAGTGATCTGTGTGGAGAATAATTTCAAACCACAATGAAGTGAGAAAATTACCAATTTTGTACCTTGTGCATCAGTGGTGTAGAAAAGTGTTTCTACACCACTGATGGTGTAGAAACAAAAAAAAAATGCCTTTTTTTTAAATGATACTGTTCGGTATCGAGGGAGGAAAAAATTGCAAGCCTTACATGGCTCCCTGCGAGACAAAAAGTGATTTTTTCGGTGGTGACCAACCGAGGCCCGGAACGTGTCCCCGCTCGGACCGGATCAGCGAAGAGACATGTTGGAGGCTCTGCTTCGGAGAAGCTCAGGTGTTGTTTTAGGAGAGCTGCTGACGTGGGATCTGAAGACCTTGAGCTGTTTAAAATAGCCACAACCCAGACGTGGAAGGAGTGTGTCGGTAGAACTTCTTTGCCGAAGCGTAAGAGCTGTTGCGCAACGCTGATTCATCAGCCCACATATGCAGAACGGTGGGGGGTGGAGGGGGTATCTGTAAAAAAGCAGGAAAATCAACCGAATAACCCCATCAGCATGAAACGGGTTTGGAGAAAATAAGGTGGATCCACTGCGCAGCCATCATATGAAAGCGCCTGCTGCATGGTTTAATAAAACAAATGAACCATGCGCAGTAAACAGGGACGAGCTTTCAACACACTGGAAGAGACACTTATTGTACACCGGCTCAATAATTTATAGGACTACATCTGGATCGTATTACATTCTCAGTGTAATTCATTCAGCTCAAAACGAGCTGGAAGTTCGTCAGCGCTCCCTGGAGGGAAGAGGCGCTTTTTACGCGCGGGTCGTTTCGTCCCGACACGCTTGCTTCGGTGTGAGATTGATTTATTTATTTGCCCGTTTTTGCAACGCTACATCCTGTAAATGTGCCACTTCAGCGAGCATTTTGGGCGTTTTTATTTATTTCCCCGAGACCCGCTTATTTATTTAAGAGAGCATTAGTCAGCAGAACCAAACCAAGAGCGCTTGTAAAGAGCTCCATTAAGAGCCGGGAGAAGCGCTTGTGTTTGATGGATCAACTTATTGGTGGCTGCTGCAAATGAAAGCTGAATGAATGATTCATGCCTCTGCAGGTATGGCTGATAGTAATGAATCATATCTAAAAAAACAACAAACAAAAAAAAAAACAGCTTCAAACTGCATTGATTGTGTTGTTTCAGAGTCCCCATGTTCCTTTATTTTCCACAGGACTACACCCTGACCATGTACTTCCAGCAGTACTGGAGGGACAAGAGGCTGGCCTACGTGGGGATTCCCCTCAACCTGACGCTGGACAACAGAGTGGCGGACCAGCTCTGGGTCCCAGACACGTACTTCCTCAATGACAAGAAATCCTTTGTGCACGGGGTCACGGTTAAGAACCGAATGATTCGACTCCACCCGGATGGAACCGTCCTCTACGGACTCAGGTGAGAGGCTTCAGGTCTTTCTGTGAGAACGCACAAGAACGCACGTCTAATATTATTTGAAGTTAGCAGTTTTGACAAATGTCTTATTACGACTGCTTCTCAGTCCACTACTCCCTGGTATGTTGTTAAAGGTTCAATGGACAAACGCTGTTTTGATGATGTGCTGAAGGCGGAGTTTTGGAAAGAGCGGGAGCTTCTTAAAGAGACAGAGACCTAATTTTAAGGCATTCATTTTCTAAGTCAAGTTTCTTTTAAGTCATGTTTGACGTTGCACTTTCATTATAGCTTAAGGTAACATAGTTTCTTGACTGCACTAAAAGATGGCTCTGTGTGCCTTGAAATACATAACGCTTCCCTTTTAAAACAATATCAGTGAAGAAGTGTTTCCACTGCTACACATTTTTCTCTGTGTCTGGGTAATAAATGGATATCATTAATAAACAGAATTTTTGGTTCCTTGAACATTTAATTTTTTGAAAATCTGGATTTTTTGCCATAGTTCTGAGTAACAGCGCATTTTGTTTGACGGCCATGTTTTCTTAAGTCAGGCTGCAATTACAGTGTGAGAATAAAGTCCTAAAATGACTAGAATAAAGTTGTAAATTTATGACAACTCCAACACAAAGAGAGTTATACCAATTAAACATTGGTATAAGTTTTACATATAAGTAAATACTCAACTCTGTGGAAGCATGTTTGTCATTAAAAGCAACTTGTTTCTCTCTTATTTTTAAGACATTCTAGTAAAACCGAGCCTTATAATTTTCCAGTATTATGACTATATTCACTATAGTCCGGCCCTTCTACTCCGTTGTTCAACTCACAGAAGGAATGACTGTAATAAAAGCCGCTTTTGAAAATATTTTCTATAATTTGTAATTTAATTTTTTTTTATTTTAGAAAAGAAAGCAAGAAAAAAATATTAAAATCATAATTTGGATCTGGAATGAAAGAAATGTTATTTTTAAGCCATATGTTCCAGCTAACTGTGGTCTGCCTAAAAGCCTAAGTCTCTCTTTGGTTTGTCCATTAAACCTTAGTGAAGTTCGAATGTATATGAATCTGACTGATTTTGGTGCAAATCCAGAACATGTCAGGTCGCGCCCTGCTCCCTCCTACTTTTGCTTAAGCTGTGGTTCGAGGTCAGCTTTTTGTAATCACTTCCCCACTTTTCTGTTTTGGCGTCAGAATCACGACAACGGCGGCCTGCATGATGGACCTGAGGCGATACCCGCTGGACGAACAGAACTGCACTCTGGAAATCGAAAGTTGTACGTCTCGAGCCTCTTTTGCTTAGTAGAAGAAACGGGGGCAGATGGCCTCACTCTCCCATCACTTAAAATTATGACGAGCGCAGGGAGTCTCATAAAGAAGACCCTTACACTCATCGTCTCGTGCGGGGCACGGAAACTGCACAGGCAGCTGAATTGCTCTGGATTTATGAGCCAGTCATATCTGGGCGATGTTACTGGCTGCAGACTGGTTTTAGCATTGGCAAGCTCCGCTATCTGAGGCTGCCGTCTGAGCGGCCATTAAAGTATTGACAGCTATTGATCCCATGCAGCCGTTTTTATCTCAGTCAATCGAGAAATTCGTTTTGTCCGTCCACCTCATGAGAATCACACCGTGTTCCTGGCTTTTCCTCGCAGACGGGTACACCACAGACGACATAGAGTTCTACTGGAAAGGGGGAGACACGGCCGTTACCGGTGTGACCCGGATCGAGCTGCCTCAGTTCTCTATAGTCGACTACAAGCTCGTCTCCAGGAACGTGGTCTTCTCCACTGGTAGGTGGAAGGGAGTCGGGTCAACGGGGGTCAAAGGTTGCGGATCGGATCTTACATTGCGTCTCTGCCAGAGGCGGGTCGAGCACCCAAACATTGTCCTCAAGTAAGAGCAGAACTACTACAAATTTCTACTCAAGTAATGGCAAAAAGAGGAAATTTTACTCAAGGAAGAGTCGCACTGCCTCATAACAAAGTTGCTAAAGTAAAAAGTACAGCATAGTAGTACCCATAAAGTTAAATGTAACTAGTTGGTACCCAACTCTCACGTCTGCGTGTAGCTTGAAGGATTAGAGACGGCTCTGTGTGTCCCTGTTTGTCTTGATGAACAATAGAGTATAATGTAATCACACTGCCTTTACCTTAAGCAATAAATTATTTTCTCTTTCTCTTGTTGGAGGGAAAGGAGAGCTTGTTCTGCACAGTTAATTAGAATGTATTATGTACAGAGGGCTATAAAATCTTGCTCGCTCTATTATGTTTACAGATGCATCTCAATAAATTATAACATCATCAAAGAGTTTATTTAGCAACACGGAAACTTTATTGTGCTGTACAGATTCATTACACACACAGAGCCATTTATTTTTCTAGTGTTTATTTCTGTTAACTTTAGTGGCTATGGCTTACAGAACATTAGGTTTTCACCCAAAATCTGTGTTTAATAAATCCATATTGTATATGTGTTCCCTGTTTGAGCTGATTTACTCATACGAATAAACTTTTTTAATGATGTTCATGCCCGTGCAAAACACCACCCAGCTTTCAAACGCTCCTCATTTGGTCAAATCTCCTTTTTCTTTTAATCAGAGTATTCAGAACTTCGACTCCAGTCCTCAAATCAAACTAAAGTGACGGGCGAATCAAAGTCAGCTGCTTCCTCTTCCGCCTTGTCTTGTAGGTGCCTACCCTCGCTTGTCACTGAGCTTCAAGCTGAAGCGAAACATCGGATACTTCATCCTGCAGACATACATGCCCTCCATCCTCATCACAATCCTGTCCTGGGTGTCCTTCTGGATCAATTATGACGCCTCAGCTGCCAGAGTGGCTTTAGGTATGATATGACCCGAGCAGGAAATGTTAACATACTGGTGTTTGTTGGAGAAGAAAATAGACACATTAAAATGTACAGTAAGTAGAGAAAGGAATGGCAGATAAAAGCATTTGCATACGTTGAAGTTTTTGCTCATTCTGTCATGTTGTGACCGCAAGCTGTATTTTATTAGAATTTTATTGCTAGCTCAACACAACATAGATCATCACTGTAAAATTGAAAAATATATAGACAATATTCAATGGTTTTACATGTTATATGTGAAACCCATGTCATAATACATTCATTTGTTCATTTGCATTTGTTCCAAGGAGGATTAGGGTAACTAAAAAACAAAAAATACATTTTTGTCTCCAAATTCTGACTTTTTTTCTCAGAAGATCAAAGCCAGAATTCAGAAGATCAAAAGATTCAGAATTCAGAGATCAAAGCCCAGAATCAGAAGATCAAAGCCAGAATTCAGAGATCAAAGCCAGAATTCAGGAGATCAAAGCCAGAATTCAGAAGATCAAAGCCAGAATTCAGGAGATCAAAGCCAGAATTCAGAAGATCAAAGCCAGAATTCAGAGATCAAAGCCAGAATTCAGAAGATCAAAGCCAGAATTCAGAAGATCAAAGCCAGAATTCAGAGATCAAAGCCAGAATTCAGAAGATCAAAGCCAGAATTCAGGAGATCAAAGCCAGAATTCAGAAGATCAAAGCCAGAATTCAGAAGATCAAAGCCAGAATTCAGAGATCAAAGCCAGAATTCAGAAGATCAAAGCCAGAATTCAGAGATCAAAACCAGAATTCAGGAGATCAAAAGCCAGAATTCAGAAGATCAAAGCCAGAATTCAGAAGATCAAAGCCAGAATTCAGAGATCAAAGCCAGAATTCATAAGATCAAAGCCAGAATTCAGAGTAAAACAAAGTTAAAAAATGTACAGATCTAAAATTAAAGTTAGAATCCTGAGGAAAAAAGTCTAAATTCCTTTATTATTATTATTATTATTATTATTATTATTATTATTATTATTATTATTATTATTATATTCACTTGTTCGTTCCCATCAGCCTGTCTGAGGCTGCAGCCTTGTCATGTAATAAGATACTCATGTAGATCTACTGGCACTGGGAGTAATGGTGCTTTCATATGGGAACATCCTTACAGGAAGAGTCTTTATAGCAGTTAGAAAGTTAGAAATTTACAGAAAGCTCAAAGTCCTCCAGTAACGGAGAGAAAATTCAAGCTCAGCTGTTTCCATTCGAAGCAAAAGTTCCAGAATCGGTGTCAGCTGTGCTTTCTGAAAACACAATACTCCTCCTAACTCAATTGCCTTAATGGAAACCCTCATTCAGCATCGCTGCGCTCTAAGTGCTCCCCGCGTTAGGAAGAGCACATTATGGCAAGCGATCATTAAATCTCAGCTTTGCGTACAAAGTGATGAGATGATGTGGAGTATTTCAGGAGCTTCTGTGGACAGGCGTGTTGGGAAACTCCTCCTCAGACGTGTAGCTCGTAGGAAAGCAGGCTCCTGGCGTTGGTCTCCTCCAGTGCCGTCTCCTGGAGAAGGCCGCAGTCTGAGGCGGCGCAAGATCAATGAAAGTTAGTCACTGAGTCGTCTCGGTTCAGTCACAGTGCGGGTGATGAGTCACAAATTCCTTATTTTCTCCTGCTGCTCGGAACTTCCTGGGTAGTTCTCTGGCGTCATACAGACGCTCATCATCCACTCATCATCTGGATCATCATCATATTGGGTGTGGGCTTTTAATGATGCATTTGAAAATATCTTTTTCCCCATGTTGGAATAACGACAATATAAGAACTACTTGAACTGGATCAGTCGTACAACCTTGAATTTTTTTCTCTGCTCCCCATGCATTCAAATACTCACATATAACATGAATATATTATGCATATTTTACACATTTCAGACATATATTCAGCTATATACAATACACACCCCAATAACTAGGGCTGGATGATCTAAGACTATTTTTTATGCCATAATTCAATTTCCGATTTTATTTAATTATTTTTCTTGATTTCTGCACTTTAATAAAAGTGTGAGACTTTTATTAAAAATAGTTTTTCAACATATTTGTTAAAACTGTCACCATGTCGACAGTATGTCATGAGAGGTCTTCTGTGACAACATCAATCTCCTTCAACTCCTCTCTGTGCTATTGTCACTGTCTGAGGAACTGCACCGCTTCCAGTCAAAAACAAGCAGTCAGAGCCAAGAGGAGGACCTTAGCGCTGTCAATCACTCATATGCACTTGCTGCGAAATTTTCTAATAGCAGAGATTACAGGAAAACCGTTTGTCCGCCGTCATCGGTGGCAATACTGAACATTTATGACAGGCTCTGCTAACTGCAGTGTAGCAGAAAGCAAAATTAAAATTAAAATATTAAAATAAAATATGAAAATGACATCCTGCAGCTTTGAGATAAATTACAACTGAAAAAACACATTTTCAAAAATTCAATCGTCCCCTCTGCGAGTTGACCAAATTCAAAGTCCAGATAACTACAAACTGTATGAGCTGTAAAAAACATATCATCTTTTTTTAAGATATTGACTTTTTATATCAAGTTGGTTGCTTTCAAAATTGAGGCTCTTTCTCTGTGTCGGCGCTGTCAGTGCTGTGAAAAGGTTTTCAGAGAACATTTGGCGGAGAGGGTGGCACAGTGACCAGCAGGCTGACATCTTTCGTTGCTTTGAGATTCCCCCCGCTAACCGGACTGCGATTCCCTCCAGGGATCACCACCGTGCTGACCATGACAACCATCAACACCCACTTGAGAGAAACCCTCCCCAAGATCCCCTACGTGAAAGCCATCGACATGTACCTGATGGGCTGCTTCGTGTTCGTTTTCCTGGCGTTGCTGGAGTACGCCTTCGTCAACTACATCTTCTTCGGACGCGGCCCGCAGATGCAGAAGAAGCTGGCTCTGAAGGCGCTGAAGGCAAACAATGAGCGTGGCAGGTTTGACCGACCCAAGGTGAGAGCGACCAAGTTGATGACAAAGTGGAAATTGCCGGCGTCGTGCTACCCGTGTTGTTGTTGTCGTTTTGCACGTTGCCTGGAATCCAATATTGGCAGCAACAGCAAGATGAAAATGCATTTGAATGTACTTGGTTCTGCTTCAGCCTGGAGTCATTAAAGTTAATAAAGTTACAGCAACTTGCGGTTAGATTAGATGTCATTTTTCCAAAAAAAACTAATAGGCGGGAAAAAAATTAGATGGTAATGATTTGCTTCATTTACAGTTTTTTTTAACTTACTGCAGTCTCTGCTGTGGGAGAGTCCTGACTTTTATTCTTTTTATGGTGGCAGAGCTTTAGCAGCAAATGATTTAAGCTGCTGATTCAAGCTGTGTCATCACCATTGATTCGTATTTACTGCTGCAGGCAGATAGCCTCCATCTTTACAAGTCAGCATGGAAGCAATAACATTATCTGAAGGTTAAGAGCCAAAGTGAGGATGGAGACTGCACCTAGTTGTAACAGAAGGACGGTCTGGTCAGAGGTCAGAGGTCGGAGATTTATCTCCATTGACAAGGAATCGTGGGTATGGCCATGAATTAATTTCAGGCTGTTAATTTTGCATTTGTGCCTTTCTCTCTTCCTCCAGTGTGAAACACCAAACTTCTATACAAAAAAAAAAAAAAAAAAAAAAACGATGTTTCACTGATTGAATTTTGTCTCGTATCCTCTGGGTCAAAATTATGCTTCCATGCTTGATATCTACATACACCTTCACTATTATTTGCTTAACTGAATGTTGCAAGCTTTTTTTTAGCCTCGGTGAGGTTTTCTGTATGTGTGTGGTTTTGAAAACTACGTTCGACCAAATATTACGATACCTTTGCGTATATTTAATGCTGTGAGTAACAGTGACTCTAGTTAAATCGTCTATTGGGTGACCTTTCTGACTCCTTTATAAGAACCTGATCAAAACTCAAAGGACGTTATTTCTGTTTCTTTCGTCCGGCTAGTCCATTCTGGAGGGAGTCAACTGGAAGACCTCGTCGTCTCTGAAACAGTCCAATCAGGTTCAGAGTCGCCGCCAGTCGCATCAGGTGAGCACCTGCTCCAGCCAGCTGGATTTTAAAAACCATCATTTAAAAACATGTTTTAGTTTCAACTTAAAGCTGCATTCTGTCACTTTTACCTGCCTTCTCTCAGTGCCAGATAGATGTGTGTGTGTGTGTGTGTGTGTGTGTGTTGTGTGTGTGTGTGTGTGTGTGTGTGTGTGTGTGTGTGTGTGTGTGTGTTGTGTGTGTGTGTGTGTGTGTGTGTGTGTGTGTGTGTGTGTGTGTGTGATTTTTCTTCATTGAATTGGATAAGTTTATAGACTTGTACTAACTGTTTTTACTAACCAAATTGGCCCGTGTTGGTTGTTACACATTGCAAAATATGTTTGTATAAAAAATTTGAGTCATACCACACTGGACTGGAAAGTGTCTCAGTTTACATTGTCTTATATTGTCACCATCCTCAAATAATGACCCAAGTCATTTTTTGATAAAAGTTCTTTTTGTCAACAACAACAAAAAAAAAAAATCACCATCTTTTTCTTTCCAAAAGATGTTTTAGCCAAAACAAAAACAACACTTTTGGCCATAATTTGAGACAGTATAGAATTTGCTAAGTTGCAACGTTGTGCCCTTTGTATTTGTCTCAGCTTCCTGTGATTTATCTCATCCTGTGTGGAAAGCTGCACTCGCCATGACAGTAGTAACAGGGGCACCCAGTGCAACCTTGATCTGATTTGTGTGAAGCGATTTAACTTTGGGACAGAGGGCACTTCTCTCTGAAGGCCGCTCTGCGTTTTATCCCCTCTGTGACGTCATCGAGGCTGTTTTTTTTTTGTTGTTGTGTGTTTTGGGGGGTTTTAAACCCGGCTGCCGTCTACGTTCTCTCCCAGGTCGACTCCCGCGGGAACGTTCTGCTGACGTCCTTGGAGATCCACAACGAGGTGGGGAGCAACGAGGTCACCACCACCCTGAGCGAGACGCACAACTCCACCTCCATGACGTTCGACAACTCGGGGGTCCAGTACAGGAAGCCCAGCGCGCCCAACGAAGCGGGCCGCCACAGCCTGGACAGGAACGCGCAGTTCAAAAAGACCCGCCTGCGGAGACGGTCGTCGCAGCTCAAAATCAAAATCCCTGACCTCACTGACGTGAACGCCATCGATAGGTGGTCGCGGATTATATTCCCCTCCGCCTTCTCCCTGTTCAACATCATCTATTGGCTTTATTACGTCCATTAACACACTGCGGTTTTGTTTTTCTTTTGGGCTTTTTTGTTTGTTTGTTTTTTTTTAAACCCATCTTTGTCTCGTTCCGCTTCCGGAATCGGAGAGAACGTTTCGACGCAACGCGCCTGACGTGGTGAAAATCCCGAACATTTCTGGGTGCAGCGAGCGCAGACTTTGGCCGAGAGAGCCGTCATTCAGACTGTGCGACGTCACGTGGGCTTTTACCGCGGTGCGGGGGGGAAGTGGGGGAAAGACTTGCGTGTACAGACGGCCACCTTCTGTTGTGACCTCTGCAAACAGCTGGGAGAGGAAACATCTTTGCACCGCTGGAGGCCTGTTGCTTGGACACCGATGTTTTTAACGTGATCGCATTGTCGCAGGTGTCTTTACGACAGTGATGCGGCTTTGTTTGTCTACAAGTCTTCACTTTGGCCAACGTGGACACTCCCGATTTCCACCTGCAGACTAAAATCTGTCTTAATCTTTGGCTGTTTTGGAGAAATATTGTTGTTTGTAGCTCAGTTCAGGTGAAAATCACTGAGGAGTCTTACAGTGCCTTGCAAAAGGATTTAAACCCCCTCAATGTTTCCACGTTTTATCACATTTCAACCACAGATTCAAATGTATCAATGTTTATTTTATGTGATAGACCAACATGCAAAATTTTTTAACATTTTAGGGATGAGAGAAGCAACTTTGAAAATCCACACGATTCCATCGTTTCTTGGAGTTCACGACGCCGTTTGTTCTCTCACAAACTTCTTCAGGGAACAGCTGGATTCTTACTGAAATTAAATTACACACACATGGTTTCTGTTTACTAACTAAGACTCCCGGTTGGACTGGACTCCAATCTCATTTAGGGCATTAGTGTCGATCTATCACATAGTCCCGGTAAAATCAAACAAAGTTTGAGTGTGGCATGTGATGAAAGGTGAGAAGTTCAGGGAAGTTTGAACGCTTCTGCAAGGACAGGAGAGCCTGCAGCCTGTTGCGGCAAAACTGGAATGGGGTGAGAGCCGGCAACAATGTTGCCAAAGATCCAAACGTTGCTTTAAAGCATATTCATCGTTACGTTACTTAACCTTAAAATTCCTACTGTTGTTACCGCAAGAAAGCGCGATCACAGCCAGCACATCACTCAATCCTACTTTTCTCATTCTCATCCCGTCAGACAAAGAAAGCTTGGAAATTTGTTTACATTAAAAAAAAATAATAATAATAATAATAATAATAACTGATGTCGATCTGTGTTCGTAAAAAAAAAAAAAAAAAACCTTAGGTTTAATTTGGTTTATCTTACCTGAAACAATTGATGTCATTGTGTATTTGATGCTAACTTACACTATCTAACATGTTTGTTCAACACCTAACAAATATAGCCTACACTTTTGCTTTGTGTAACATACAACATACTGCTGGAAAGGGAAGATATTTATTATTAAAAGAATGCCAAGCCGACAGAAACCTAAACTAAAATGTTTACCTGAAGGCAACTGGTATATAGCACTTCCAACATTAACATATATATGTGAAAATATACTCTTTTTTTTTACCAAGATTTTTTTTCTGACAATCCAGTTAAGTAAACAGGGCTCTGTTATGACTTGGACAAAAGGGATAGGCCATAATTCACATTGGATGGATAAAAGTGAAATAAAATGAGCATTATCTTCATAACACCTTAAAGGTTCATCAACCAGCCACAGGCTCCGCCCACAGGAATACAAAAATGAAACAAAGCAATTACCTCTAACTCAAGTAAGCTCTTATCAATGTTTGAACGATAAGAAAAATAAATAAGCAATCACAGGAATGAAAAAAGAACACTGAAAGCAAAAGGCAATGCTCAATTTGATAGAAAACCATTAATATACAACGTCTTGATGGCGTTGCCATTGCGTCTTCACGTGACTCCCTCCCGGCGCCCCTTAATCCGGAAATAGTATTGTTTGAAAACCTCGACCGGGAAAATCTTTGACACTGGAAATTGAAAGCTAGGAAGGAGATGACGGCTATGTGCAGCCACGTCGAACCGCGATGGTTTGTGCTGAAACCAAGAAGACACGTGTGTGTGTTTGCGTGTGAGCACGGACTTTGCTGTTGCACTATGGCCGAGGTCGCGAGGGCTCCTCTGTCACACTTCCAAAGAGAATCGGGCGTGAAAGCAAAAAAAAAAAAAAAAGAGTAGGAAGAGTATTATCATCCAATTTACATATTGGTTGTTAATATTAGCTCAGTCAGTATCAATCTGGCAGTGCCCATAAGTTACATAATGACTAATACCAGCTGATACCGATGTTGGTGCCGATGTATCGTTCAAATCTCAACTAATAATGGAAGTAAATAAAGATGAATTTACTCCTTTCCCAAGTCAAACAGAAAAATCCTTTCAATAAAACCTTCAATTATCTTTTGTACTGTTAACAACTCTGGACAAACAGCTGGCAACGCATCAGGCTTTGATTAGACCACAAAAAAGTTTTGGTTAAGAGCTAAAGCTCTGACTGGTCTGTCTTCTTATATCTAGAATGAGCTTCTTGTTTTAATGTGAAGCTCCATAAACAGACGTCTGGCTGTAAAAAAAAAATAAATAAAAATGCTACTTTTTTTCTTTTTTTTTTACTAAATGTTGGGTTCATATGAAAAACAAAAACTTGAAATGATTTCCCAGTTTTGTCATCATGCTTTCTGTACCAATCTGTTCTTGATATTTTTGTTGAAACCCTCATTTACAGCGAACTTCACACTGGACTTTTCTTTCTTTTTGTCTCGTCGCATGGCGTTCGAGAGGTGACCGGGGTCGTCGTTTCAAAACACTTGTCCTCAAGCTGTTTCCCTTGCAGTCTGGATGTACATGCTGTGACATTTTCTTTCAACTCACTCTGGCTATGTTGTCATCATTGTTTTGCTCAGTGATTTCCAGCCTCGCCTTTCGTTTTGGTTAGTCCTCGCGAAGTATTACAATTTCCTGGCTGTGATTGAAAAATATAAAAAATAATGATAATTTTTAAAAATGGAAGAGTTTCAGATGATCTTCATTCTTTTCCTGAAGGCCCAGCCAGGAAGTGGACTCCCAGCTTACCTCCAAATCCTCCCCCTGCAACCTCAGGAAGGGCCTACAAAGTTTTTACAAAGACTGGGAAAAAAGTGGGGTAAAAAAGAAACGAAAAGCTGCTGGCAGACGCAGCTTGTGATGCACCATCTGCACTGCTTGCCTGAGCGGCTTGCGGCGCGTAGGAGTGACACCACCTGTCAGAAGTCCGCCGCGCTCCCGCCTTATGGAGCACTGGTCTCTATAAGAAATCAAACAAAAACAGAAGAAGAAGAAAACGCTCATGTGAGTTTGGGAAGGTTTCTAATTATTCAACAAACGGCTCCTTTTGAAAACTTGTCCACCACCACCTGCCTCCACAACTAAAAATCAGTCATCGGGTGAGCTGCACATGGGATCCGCTAGGGGGAGCTAAGCTCTCTTTTGTTGAACAGCGACAGATTTTCTTCGCCGTTTTCCAAACGTGGGCCTACGGAAGAGGATTAGGGCCACTGAAAAAAACAACAACAAAAAAAACAATTCTGACTTTATTTTTTCAGAATTCTGAGATCAAAGTCAGAACTGTTTAATTTTGTGTTTTTTCACTCTTAATGCAAAGAGTGAACACATAAGGTGCTCAAAAAGGTTGCAATTTTCATAGGCTTGACAAAGTTGTCCTTGCGCAAAAGTGGCAGTAGCACAAAAAGTGCAGTCAGTTCGGCGACAACTTCCCTGGGAAATAAAATGAGCTGACAATGCAGTACGCTCCACCAAAAAACAATAAATAAATACATTTACACACAAAAAAACACCCAGCAACCCTGCTTTTAGTGTTTGACTGCATAATTATCGTTTTTTAAGGGAAGCTGTCAGATGGGTGGGTGAGAAAATGTCAGGCGCACAAAAAAGACCAAAAAAATAAATAGCTTGATAATTAGCATTCAGACCAGTGCCCATTCAAAACGGGCCTCCACAAGTGTTAGGAAGACGAGGTGAGACTGCAGTGAGTGAAACGAAAATAAATATGGAGGCACATTTAACCACTGGGATCAGACAACGACGAGAAACAAAAAGATCCTTAACTCTGTGTCTTCATGTCTTCTGATAATGGGGCCCAGGATGTGTGTGCGTGTGCGTGTGTGTGTGTGTGTGTGTGCAACAATAATAAAAAATAAAACACGAAATGGGAGATTTGATTGAGTTTCTTTGGAAGGCTGAGAAGAAGATAATTAGACCGTGGCAATAATACATTTCTTGGTGTAATGAGACAGAGCTGGAATATCTGCACGCTCGCCCACAATAATGAATCGAAAAGAGCGATATTAAACCTGGAGGCGGATGCAACAACACAAGCTTCCAAGAGCGAACCCCCCGCAGCGACTTGGACCAATAATGCAAACGGTGATATTACCAGCAGCCTCCCTTTTGCTTGTTTATTGGAGCCTTTTGGCAACAACGCCTGAGAGGAACAGAGGCGGAAACGCTCCCGAGGAGGATCGAATTACCATCAGTCTCCACACTAATTCGACGAAACAAAAATCAAACAAAAAATTTTCAGCCACCTGAAAACGCCACACTGAGTTTCTTTATGCTCTGTTTTTGTTTCTTTTTTCCATGCAGGCGTCTCCTCAAATTATGTCGCCGACTATTCGCTTGGAGAGCAGGCTCACTCAGTTTGATGTTTTCCCGGTCCTTCAAATCACATAAAAAATCCTCTCTCTGTTTATAACTTGTCCGGCATTCTTTGACTTTCAGGTGGTGCACAGTCCAAGCTCGGCAGAGAAAGTTGCGCTGAGATCAGTCAAAACACACAGTTACAAAACCCCGGTTTGATGTATTTTTCATTTCATAGCACAATCAGCCGTGCTACCAATCGTCAAAGAAAAAAGCTGTATATTTCAAATATGACTTAGAGGTAATCTATAATTGAATACCTTGAAATTTTACCTCTGTCTCTTTAAGAAGGTCCTGCTCTTTCTGAAACTTTCAGGACGTCATCATGACATGTCTCCTCTGTTCGCAACGACGTTTTCACCAGCGTTTCATTGGGAAGTAGCTCCTGAGCAAAGCAGGCGCACGCTTCCAACAGGCGTTTACCAATCGCTGCTGGCTAGTCTGAAGGGGCTGAGTGGGCGGAGGGCTTTGAAACTGCAATTCTGTCTGAGTCGGGAGCAACTTTGTCCAAGAAGGTGGGAGATTAAAAGATTTCTCAAACAAGCATGAAAGATAGCAAAACTGTTTTTGATGAGGGAATGACATTACATATAAAAAAACATAACCCTGACAGATAAAACTCCAAAGGTAAAATAATTACAAGTAAAAGGTAAAATACTAATAATAAAAAAGCTGGACATAAAACCTAAATGTTTTTCCATCTAAGAAAAAGTGAAGCATCGTTCAATAACTGCATTTTAAATAGACAGTTTTTTTAAAAACTTATTTTCACTGTGAAGGTCACACTTCAGAGATCCTCTATTGCTTTAAACAGTCGTCCATTTTTTTATTTGTCTCAGAAATTTGCATCAAAGCCTGTGCTGAGTGCAGAAAAAAAAATTTAAATTCAGAGTTTAATAACGCTTTTTGCGTTACAGCATCTTTTAAAAAGTAAAAAATGCTTCACCACCAAGCAGCAACGTTTCGATTTTAGCAGCAGTAATTGCCAAAACCGTTCCCAAAGCATGGAAACAAGGTTTAACACGTTGGAAACAAAATTTTAAAGTGTTGCACATTTATCGTCATTCAGTTCCAGGACAGCCAGTGCCGGTGCGCCACAAGGGTGAGTGTTTGCCCCACTGCTCTTCTGCTCCCTAAGTTTTCAAATTGCCCGATCCAAGATGGCAGTTGGAGGATGGATGACTCGCAGTTTGTAACGGTTACATTTTTGTTTTCATGCCATTTCCATGTTTCATGCTTTTCCTTGGAGTGGAGAGGAGCACTAGCTTCGAAACCCAGAACTAGCTCAGAGCAGCTGAGCGTTTATTGACGGTATGTCACTCAGACCCGCTTCACCACAGAACTCTTGAGTGTTCAGGCTGGCAAAGCGAAAAACACCAAGGCTTAAAAATCCATACAGTCCCATAACACAAGCAGTTTACGTCAGCTGTTGGCAAATTATGGCAAAATATAGTCAAAAATAATTTTTAAAATTGTATTTGTTGTTGAGTATTCATTGCTTATAAAAACTAGCAAACACTCTCTAAAATCGAATTGATGTAGACTGATGAAAAGTCACAGCAAAATAAAACTAAACCAAAAACTCCAAACTAAACTTTGTCATCAAACGCTTTTCTGCCTCTCAGATTTAAGCTGATAAGAGCAAAGTTTAGCTTGCAACACCGGCTTTCTTTTATCCTCTCGTCGTCCGAAAAATGAAAGTGAAATGGTGTGGAATTGTAAGGAATGCATGCGCTGCACTTCAGCCGCTTCGCAGGGCTCATTTTTGTGGGCATTTAGATCATTAAGCTTAAATATCACTGGTTTCCAGGCGGATTTAGCTGAGCGAGTGTTTAGCTGCTCCAACAGCGCTCCACCATTAGCGCAAGGTCAGTAACCATCACAGACGGCAGACAAAATGTTTCTTTTTGGGTTTTTATATATATATATATATATATATATATATATATATATATATATATATATATATATATATATATATATATATATATATATATATATATATATCCATTCACATTTCTTATAGATAAAGTAAAGCGACATCAGAAAACAACAACTGATTGCTGATGTCATGTTTGACCTTCCTCTGCTTTCTGGTTGGTGTGAGTCCAAACGCACGTGTCAGTTCTTCAGTTTTTCTCTGCAAACCCCCCCGCCGCCCCACCGCTCCTCGTCTAGTGACCAAGTGTGTTTTCCCTCCATGTTTATGTCGTGTTTGCTGGCAGGAGGTGAAATGGATGTGATTAGTCAAGTGTATGAAATGAAGCAAATTAGGCAGCCAGGGAGCTCACCCACATAGCTCACCGAGTTCAATTATCTTCTGTTCTGTGTACAGTGGGAGCTGCTGCAGCTCAAGGTAATGGAGATTAAAGTGGCCTTTAAGTGTACATTTGTACTGATACGTGAAGGTTTTTTTTGTTTTGTTTTGTTTTGTTTGGGTTTTTTTTTCCTCTTGAACCCGCACGCTTTGTCCTGTTAAATGTTTTCATGTGCGCAGGAGACAGAAAGCACAAAAGTCGCTTCTGTTCATTGAACCCTTTCACGTTTTTTCCACCTTGAAAGCACAAATTCCACTAATGTATTTTTTTTTTCTGTAATCAACACAAATTAGAGCTTATCCAACCATAATCTGATGAAAATCTATTGCAACCAAATAGCAGAAGTTTGTAGAAAAGATTAAATGTGGATCAAAAGCTTCACTGCGTACCAATTTGCTGAAATGTGCTTTATGAATGAACTTGGCGTTACTCGTCTTGAAGAGTTCGTACACATATTTATCAAAGTTGCCCTTCATTTTTGAGGCCTAGTAAATACTGTAGAATAATTGTCCTTTTCCAGGCTCGCATACTAAAAAGCTCCAGGGTTCAGAAAGTCTCTCAAGTTGAAATGCGACTCCAGAGAAGCACAATTTGTTTTAAAACGGCATAATCAAAGTCATCCGAACCCAGTGCCCTCGATGAAGTCTTTTACATCTTCATGTCTAGAGAAAAACTTTCATCCAATCTCTATTTTTATCAGAATCTTTTTTTTTTTAATTGTTATATATATTTTTTTGTAACCAGTGCAGGCCGATCTGTGGTAGAGAACAGATCTTGTGTGCAAGAAGCAGCTGAAGGAGCAGCTTTGAAAACAAAGAGCTGATGGGCCAAAAAAAAGAAAGAAAGAAAGAGAGAAAGAGAGCGAGAGAGAGGAGGAGAGGCTGCCAGCTTCAGCAGCATCAATACGCTGCTGTATCTCCATAGGAGCACGTCACTGCTACTGTACATTGAAAATGTAGGAACTGAAACACACACACACACACGATTCGAA